GCTTGGATTCTGTGAAAACAGAGACACATAAGTGCCATTAAGTATTGAAATCAAAGAATGATCTAGGAAACAGAAAGGCCAAGAGAAGTGGAACTGTCTGTAGGAAGGAGGAAGCAGGAAAATAGTGATTCAGTAAAAAACAAAGCTGCCAGCCTAGTTGTGCCCACACTAAGGGGTGACTGAGTGTCACATCTTGAATGAGGGTGCACAATCTGTGGAACTTAATAAAAGCTTAAATATCTCATCAGTTATGTTTATATTAGCTCTTCCTTCTCATATTTTGTATTAGGGGATCCACCAGAGGATTTTAAGCAGGAGAATGTCATGAAAAGATTTGTATCTCAGGAAAAAAAAAATCTTAAGGTCAAGTAAAAAACAACTTCCAAATTTTATCACAAATATTATCGTCTAAAGGGTACACCATTCATCATGTCCAAAGTTGAATTTTCCCAGAATTGTTCCTCCGTCCTCACTTATCTGCCCAATCTGTTAGAGGCTGACACCTCACACTCCTTAGTCCCCCCTCTCCTACAGATTCTCTCCCTCCAGGGACTCTCCTACCTATCCCGTCTTTGCCACTCTGTCAGGCCCAAAATAAGGCTCCATCACTTCTACCCTGAATTGGTTTTCCAGTCTCAAACTGGACTCCCCACCCCCAGGATCTCTTTCCCTTGGTCATTGCTTCCCAAGGCATTTCCAGAGGTCACTACAGCAATTCCCACCTGGCTGTCATCAGAATCACCTAGAGAACCCTCATAAAAACAAAGCTTTGAGCATGGGTCACAAAGCTCCCAGGGCAATTCTGAGACATAGCCAGGTTTGGAACTCTAAATCCTTGCTACAGATAGTGAAGTGATCAACACTCTCTGAGAACTTGTTAGAAATGCAGAATGTCGGATCCCACGCCTGATCTACTGAATCAGAATCTGCACTTGAACAAAATCTCCAGGTGATTCTCCTGCTTGATAAAGTTTGAGAACCACTGATCTAAAGTGTGGGCTGATCATTCATTCCACAAATATTTACCGGATTTTCCCCATATCAGGCTGGGAGTTGGGAGGGTCAAGGGCCAATATCACCAAGTTTGCAAAGTTCACAGAACCATCAGTCAATCCCCTGCTTAAAACCCTTTATTGGTTCCCATGCCTTCAGACAAAGTCCAGACTTCTCACCAGGCATTCATGGCATACTAGGGACCATGGTTCACCCTTGCCACCACCTTTATTGTCTACCACTTGCCACAGGAGCCAAGCTGGACCACTAGCCACTTCTCACAGCTCATCCATGCTTGCCTGCCTACACAGCTCTCACAGCCCCAGCCATGCTCTATCTACCTCTGCCTGGAGAAACCCAAGAGAAATCCTTTAAGGTCCATCCCAGATTTTCCCTGCTCAGATAAAAGATAGGAATTCCCACAACTTTGTTCCTACCTCCTTCATGTCATTTATTTCATGCCAGCCCAGTAGAGACCATGATACTCAGCTTGTCCCCTCAGCTAATAATGGACACATCACCAAATCTCAAAGCAATACTACTACTAATTAAAATATGTTAAATAAAATCATAGATGAATGCAATAAGTGGAAAAACTCACCAATCTCCCTCATCTCCCACTTCAAAGTCTTTAAATATGAATGTAAGCCGAATACAAATGAGCTGCCCTCAAGCTCAAAAGAGAAATCATTTCTAAATCCAATAACATTTCCTGTTTTTCATACACTATAAGTAATCAAAGACTGAGTGTGCTGAAGATAAATTTTGTCTATGACCAACTATCTTTCTGTAGTTGAGCACTGAACTTCACAAACTACACCATAAAATTTGGTAACACTTCAGATTTCTATTACAATCAATTAGGGAAGGGTCAAGCAAGGAGAGAGATGGAGAGAAAGACAGGAAGTAGATCAAAATATGGAATGGGAGAAAGATCTATACCAAATCTTTAAGCGCTTTAAAAGTAAAAATATGGGCCGGCCTGTGGCTCACTCGGTAGAGTGCGGTGCTGATAACACCAAGGCCACGGGTTCGGATCCCATATAGGGATGGCCGGTTCGCTCACTGGCTGAGCGTGGTGGTGACAACACCAAGTCGAGGGTTAAGATCCCCTTACCGGTCATCTTTTAAAAAAAAATAAATAAATAAAAATAAAAGTAAAAATATAATTGGATTTGTTTTGTAAGAGGATTAAACACTGTCTAGAATGCCTGTTTCAAGCCTACCCAAACTTTAAAAGTTCTGGTCTTTAAATATATAATTTTATTGTCATCTGAAGAAAAACTGCGGGTATGAAATGGAGATATCATGAGGGAAGGAGACCACTTTCAAACAGGACCCTCCCCATCTGGTAGTCTACTGGGACCAGTGGCTTGAGATTCTGAAAAGCATGTTGCATTTTTGTAATTACAGCGTAGAACTGATCCCAGCCGCAGCGCTGCATCTGGACACACGCTCTGTCCAAAAGACATTTGCCTGGGGAGATAGACCTAAGGCATCCTTTCCACCTGGGGCTCCCTAGTTCACGCCGGGGCTCCCGGGGCTGAGCAGAGCTCAAACACACCCGCGCAGAACCCTGAGGAAACCGACCACCCTGCACATCTCCACGGCCGTCCTGGCACCTGCAGGAGCGCGGACTGTCCGCGGACACCACGCAGGGTGGGGTGGAGATTCGAAGCAAATCCACAGGAGTTATATCCCCTCCTCCCAGTCTCCTGGACAAGGTAGAAGAGGGCCCCGTCCTCGCGCCTGGGACAGGCCCCGGGGCCCAAAGAGGCACTGAACCCCACATCCAGTGTGGCTCTCGCATCTGGGGGCTCTATTCCCCAGGCAATGCCCCTGTCGCGGATCCCAGTCCCGACCGGGCGGCGAGCCCGGGCCCTGGAGGGAGCCCACTGACCTGGATGCGGGGGCGCGGCTCCTCTCCGGGCGGCTCAGGTGTGCGGACCGCTCCCGTGTCCCTCCCACCCTCGAACACGAGAGGTGAGGACCGAGCTACGAGTCACCGGCCCCCCGACCAACTGCCGGACCGAC